GTGATTCACAATCATCTATCCCACTAATTGCCATTCTCTCGGGACGGTGAAGACCACAAATGAGAGACCTAGCTCCGATACCACATGTAGGGTTGAGATGGCAGACTAGAGGGGGGTGAATAGTCTTTTCTAAAATTAATTGCACCGGCTAACCGAAACAAATGTGAAATTAAAACTATGATTCTAGACAAGACTACACCTCTCTAAGTTCTCAGGCACCTTAAAAGGATCCTAATTAGACAACAAAGGAGCCAGGCTAGCTAGAGCTCACCTAAACAATTCTAATAGTAAGGTCACACAAACCTATGCAACTAGTACTTTGGCAACCGGGGGAGCTCCTACATAATCTAGTAAGCAAAAGCACAAAGCTCCTAAGCTCATTAGCAATGCTCAATAACAAGGTACACAAGCCAAATTAGAGAGCACAAATTACTTAGCTACACAAACTAAGCAATATGACTAACAAGGCTACTCAAGCCAATTAGTCACATAAAGGAGCTACTTCTGTGCTACACAAGTAAGAAGATAACTAGCAAGCTACACAAGCTAACTAATTACAAGAGCAACTACACAAGCACAATATAGATGAAAGTAAATACAAGCTTGTGTAATGGGGATGCAAACTAACAGGAAGACAAGGATGACATGGTGATTTTTATCCCGAGGTTCACTTGGTTGCCACCAAGCTAGTCCCCGTTGTGTCAACCGCTCACTTGGTGGTTCGACGGCTAATTGGCATCACCCGCCAAGCCCACACGTTGGGCACTGCAAGAACCTACCCCAAAAGTGAGGGTAGCTCAATGACACGCTCTACTAGAGTTACTCTTCGTGGCTCCCGCGGGGCGAGCATAATACCCCTCACATTCACTTCTCTGGAGCACCGCACAAATCTTCTTTACGTGCTTCAACGATGACCACCACCAATCCATCTAGGAGGTGGCAACCTCCAAGAGTAACAAGCACCACTGGCTTATAACTCAATCACCTAGTGCCACTCGATGCAATCTCATGATGCAATCGCACTAGAATCACACTCACACCCAATCGGATGCTCACTATCAAGCATATGTGAGTTAGAGGCTTCTCAAACCAAGCACACACAAGGTCAACACATCCCCTAGGTGCTCAACCTCAGCCAAGCCTGAGCTCCACCTCTATTTATAGCCCATAAGCCAAATAGAGCCATTGGAGCCTTGGAACACATTTCTACGTGGTCACCAGACAGCAACGTGCGAGCACCGGACATAGGGTGGTGGTGCCCAACGGTCAAATTGCAATGGCTATTTTAAACTAGCCATTGGGACCCTGGCATTAGACATAGGGGGTGGTGCACCGTCCTAGGGGTGGCGGTGCCTCCTGACGAGTTCCCCCCTCTCTGGAAAAAAGGGGCGGTGCCACACCGCCATGGTTACCGGACAGTCCGGTGACCAAAACTTTCTCCAAATAAATTCCACCACTTCAAGCTCGTAGAGCATTTCATTAGGTTTCAAAAAAGTCCTAGATCATCAAAATCGAAGTTCGGAGCTAAGAGTTATGCCCAAAATACGAAAGGGTGGCTGTGCTGATTTGGGCACGCTGTAGGGGGTGGCGATGCACCTTGCCTAGGGTGGCGGTGCACTACCCTAGGGGGCCGGTGCCACCGCCCTAGGCTGTCCGGTGCACACCGAAAAGGGCGGTGCCACCCCCCATGAAGGGTTGCGCATTAGCTACAAGTTTGGTTACGTTTTTCGACCCTCGGACAACCTAAACTTGCTCTTTTCATCTTCTTTTCCTCTCCAACTTGATCCAAATCACGTCCAACAACTCCTCCTTTGCAAATGTGCCAACACCACTATGTTTTCACCATCTTGTGCATGTGTGTTAGTTTTTCACAAATGTTTTCTAAAGGATTAGTCACTCAATTCACCACGCCACTCTATCCTAGTAACGATACAAGGTTAGATCACTCGAGTGACACTAGATGACCGATATGCAAATAAGTTTGCCCCTCTTAATAGTACGGACATCTATCCTAAACCCGGTCATAAACTTCTCTACACACCTATGACCGGTGAAATAAAATGCCCTATAGGTTATACCTTTGCCTTGCACATTTCATTCCATCTCCTCCAATGTTGATGCAACACATGCACCAACCTTGATCAACAAATGATATGATCCACTTCATATCATCACGTGACCTTGTTGGTTCATCGATCTTGACATCACTTGCTTTTCACCGTTGCCTTCGTCCATCGGTGCCAAGTCTTGCTCAAGCTTCACTACTACGTGATCCATCGCTCCAAAGCCTCCAACTTGCCCTTCACGATTGCAACTGATCCATCAAGCCAAGTCTTGTCTTGATCTTCTCCACCTTAGTCACATGACTTCATGTCATGTCTCATATGCAATAATAAGCTCCTTCATCATATGTGTGAGCCTTGCAACAAATCTAAGCCATCTTTACCGTCATGGCATGAGTTGCTCACACAAGTGTACCTGTGGACTAATCACATGTGTATCTCATATTTAAACACATTAGTCCACCTAGGTTGTCACTCAATTATCAAAACCAAACAAGAACCTTTCACCAGGGACCTCTCATAGCCTCCCTAAGGTTGTGAGCCTGAGGGCACATGATAAGGGCGTGGAACTCAGATTCATCCTCAGTTCCACAAAGCTCACAGGTAGCAGACAAAGCATAGAAAGATGTATTTAGAAACCAACTCATTGTAACAATATCTAGGAAGCCAATTTATAAATCGATCAGGACTCTATCTATACTATATCCTGAGCCCCCCTGTATCTATGGCCCCGTTTGGCTTGCTGAAACTTGGCTGAATTGGCTGAAAAACACTGTTCTGGCTGAATTGTTGTGAGAGAAAAACACTGTTCCGGCTGAAAAAAACAAGCTGAATAATACGGATTATAAGGTAAGTCGAACGGGGCCATAGTTACAGGGGGGCTCAGGATAGCATCCCACATAGATCCCAAGATCATCCCCACGCATCCCACATAGATCGAGCTCTTCGTATAGCTCCACCCATATAATTGTTGTGAACTTCTGATCCCCTACTCGCAACCACCCCCGAGCACATGACGCATAAGCAGGAAAGATCATCAATCTCATCTACACTGGCATAGGGTACTCCATATCTAAACTAGTATAAATATGTGCTCCATGTGCTAGTCATAGGTAAAAAAACAACAAGATAGATACGAGTGCAACCAAACAAGATCTTGAAGAGTTCTCTCCTATAGAAACTAGCAATAGACACAATGGGCTAGAATGGTCCTAATACATATTTTCTACTACCTCCGTCTCAAAATAAATCAGTTCCTAAGTCAAACTATCTTAAATTTGACTAACTTTGTACAAAAAAGTAACAATGCCTATGACACCTAATACATTCTGAAAATATATGTTATGATATATCTAGTGATAATGGGGCAGTTCGTTGGTCTGGTTTGACCAGCCAGCCGGCTGCTCCCCCTCTCAGTTTACTGTTCATCAAACCAGCCGAACAATGTTTTTCTCTCACAACAATTCAGCCGGAACAGTGTTTTCAGCTAAGTTTCAGACCAGCGAACGGGACAAGTGTTTTGGCATCATAAATATTGGCGTTTTTTTTAATTCGGTCAAACTTAAAATAGTTTGGCTTAAGACTACTCTAAAGATGATTTTTTTAGATTTATTATGAGCCTTCATGCTAATAGCCAGCATGCTAAAAGTGGCAAGGATGAATCCAAACAAGTAGTGTACTCATAGATCACCTTAAGGAGGACTTATTAAAAGTTACCATGCTAAAATTAGCACCATCCGAACATTATCCGCAAGAATACGGGATTAAAAACCTATCAAATCTTTTTCTCATAATCGTCCTATTCGTTTGGGCTTGTTTGATTGATAAGCCATGGCTGAAAGTACTGTTGGCTGATTTGGTATGAGAGAAAAGTACTATTTATTAGCTAAACAAGTACAGCTTGTAAACCAATCAAGCTCAAACCAACACGGCGAATATATATACGGCACCGCCCCTGCATTGTTGTCCCACCCCAGAAAGCTTTGCGACGTCACTGATGACGTGCTTCAATCTAATAGATGCAAGACCATGAGGAATTGAGGACAACTTGCAACTGTACATCTGATCGTCTCTTGTGGTGACTAGTCACTACTGACTCTGAACTTAATCCATTTTAACAAATCCTCAGAACAACTTCGCCGCAAAAAACGATGCTTATTAATCCTTTTGTATTTGGTGTCCTTGTGAAATATATGAATCAATACCTAGTAATTAGTTTGGGTGAGCGGTAAATATCGTGCAGTACGGTACACTTTTTGTGCTGCAACACTGAACTCTGTTCATCTGGATGACCATTTAAGTTTAATCAAAAGCAGGCGGCTATATGATGTGAAACTGTAAACCTGTAAGCTGGATGCTTTTCTGGGATCCTCAATGTTTGTTTGTTTTTTGTTTTGTTTTGTTTTGTTTTGCGAGAGTTGAACCAGTTTGTTAACGTTGTTGCTTTCTTAAAAAGCAGGGTTGAACCAGTTGCAGTAAAACTGGAGCTGGCCCGCTCGGGGCTGGGGCAGGCCGTTTCAGCCGCGTCCTTGACATGATGCCTAGTTCCAGTCATCCCCATTTGTAACTCGGTCAGCAATTCAGCATTGCCTGGTTCGGCTCTGCAACGCGAAGGAGCGACTAGTATTTTCTCTGAGACTCAAGCTTGACAGATTCCGCTGCTTCTTCATCTCCCGTTGGTGTGCATCAGTCATGCTGTCATGGTCTCATGGACCAGTCAGTACGAACTCCTCTGCGTCAGATAGTTCATGTCGTGTACGCATACGCAGTGCACGGCCACTGGACCTGCATAAATAGTAGCAAGAGCTCAGCAGCTTGCCACAGCCCACAAGGCACTGGCACAACAGCTTAACAAGCCGGAGACGGAGAGGATAGCTAGCCCTTTTGCAGACAGCCATCGGCCATCCACTCACCCGTCTTTGCCTGTGCGAGCGAGAAATGGAGGGCGCCACCAAGCCTGCTCACTTCGTGCTCTTCCCATGGACAGGAACCATCAGCCACGTGATCCCCATGACAGACCTCGGCTGCCTCCTCGCGTCCCACGGAGCCGAGGTCACCATCATCACCACGCCCGTCAACGCAGCGATAGCACAGAGCCGTGTCGACCGCGCCCCGGTGTCACGCTCACACGGTGCCGCCGCGATCACGGTCACCGCGGTCCCGTTCCCGGCCGCGGACGCCGGCCTGCCCGAGGGCTGCGAGAGGATGGACATGCTCCGGTCTCAGGACGAGGTGCCTCGCTACTTCGTGGCCAACAGAGCGTTCGGCGAGGCAGTGGCGCGGTACTGCCTCGGCGAGGCGCCACGACGCCGTCCGAGCTGCATCATCTCCGGGATGTGCCAGACGTGGGTGCTAGGCCTGGCGCGCGAACTCGGCGTGCCCTACTACGTCTTCCACGGCTTCGGCGCCTTCGCTTTGCTCTGCATCGAGTACCTGTACAAGCACAGGCCGCACGAGGCTGTCACGTGGGACGACGAGCTGTTCGACGTCCCGGCGCTGCTGCCTTTCTAGCTGAGGCTGTCGCGTAGGCAGCTCCCGCCGCATTTCATGCCGGTCTCTTCCGTCGGTGGGAAGGCGCTGCAGGGGATTCGAGATTTCGACGTGGCCGCGGACGGCATCGTGGTGAACACCTTCGACGAGCTGGAGAGCGGCTCGGCGGCGCTTCTCGCGGAGGCGACGGGCAAAAAGGTGGTCGCCGTCGGGTCCGTCTCGCTGTGCCGCTCACCGAGTCTCGACCCTCAGTCCATGTCGAGTGACGCGAGGCGATGCATGGCGTGGCTGGACGCCAAGGAGGCCAAGTCCGTGGTGTACGTGAGCTTCGGCAGTGCCGGGCGCATGCCGCCCGCTCAGCTCATGCAGCTCGGCATGGCTCTTGTCTCATGCCCCTTGCCAGTGCTCTGGCTCATCAAGGGCGCCGACTCCCTGCCCGACGACGTCAAGGATTGGCTGCGCGAGAACACCGACGCAGACGGCGTCGCGGGCAGCAAGTGCCAGGTGGTGCGCGGGTGGGCGCCCCAGGTGGCCATCCTGGCCCATCCAGCCATTGGCGGCTTCATGACGCACTGTGGATGGGGCTCCACTCTGGAGGCCGTTGCAGCCGGTGTGCCCATGGCAACCTGGCCCTTTTTCGCCGAGCAATTTATCAACGAGCACCTCATCGTCGACGTGCTTGGCATTGGGGTGTCCGTCGGTGTGACGAAGCCAACAGAAAATGTTTTGACTGCTAGTAACGCCGCCGGTGGCAGCGAAGCGGAGGCCCAGGCCGAGGTGGGGATGGAACAGGTGAAGAAAGCCCTGGATTTGCTGATGGATCAAGGGCCTAAAGGGGAGGAGAGGAGGAACAAGGCTCATGAGCTGAAACTGAAGGCAAAGGGTGCTTTGGAGAAGGGAGGATCATCCTACATTAATTTGGAGAATTTGATCCAGTCTTTTCTTTGAAGATCAACCGTCTCACTTATGGGTTCCAACATACGTGTTTGTTTTTCTTCTGAGTGTCATACTATGGATATTTAGTTATTTATTTATTACTAGCATCGTTTATTTTTGTCAAATAAAGTTATTGTATTCTTAAATCAACCGGTGCTCCTCCATGAGCTTGTAATTTGAAGTGTCAGTAGCAAACATACCCGTGTGTTGTGAACAGGAAAAAAGAAAATTATCATGTATCCATGGAAAACAGCTATGTAATGTTTAAGAGCTATAATTTATTAATTAATGTTTTATATGCATTATTTTATGATGATTATGGCATTCATAATTTAAGCTAATGTTGTCAACCTCTTGTTCGTGTCAAATTAAAATGCACTTTTTTCTCCTAGTGCAAAGCACACGGACATATTTGTTGTAAATATTATAATTTTAGTTTTCATGCATTAGTACAATTAAATATTAAGTCCTATGACTTCTTTAAATTCTAATAAAAATATGTAATTCTAATCTCTCATCGAGTTGGCAAGTACTTATCTGTTGACGAGTCAAGGGCTGATCTTTCTGCTAATGATTATAATGCAAAAGCTCTCCCAATTCATGAGTATCATCATAACCATGCACCATTAAATCTAAATGACTGAAAAAGCGTAAAGCTAATAGGACAGGAAGACAAGGAACAAAAAGCATAAAAAAACACGGTAGCGGCTGAATTTTACTGTTCACGGCTGAATCTGTGAGAGGAAAATACTATTCCGGATGAAAAAAGAAGTGAATCAAGCCGGGTTTGGGGTCAGCCGAACAAGCCCATAGTCGTTTGGAAGGTTTTTCTATTACTTATTTTTTTGTAATCAATGCAGACCTCAAGTCGAAGTAAATATACTCTCTTGGTCCTAGCTAATATTTAGGGCGTAACTATCTTCGTCCTATTCGCTTGACTTATAAGCCATACTTTTTTAGTCAACGAACATTATTTTTCTCTCACAACAAATCAGTCAACTGTACTTTCAGTCATGGCTTATGAGCCAAGCAAACAGGGCACTTGTGTTCAAGTCCTAAAATATAGAAAACCTAGCCATGGCTTATGAGCCATGGCAAACAGGACACTTGTGTTCAAGTCCTAAAATATAGAAAACCTATATCTATACAGTAGTAATTGTGTTAAGAGTTAAAAATACGTTCATCAGTCTTTTGAACCAGGGTGGTTTACGCATTAGACCAATCTCAATGGAAAGACCATGGTGATTACATCTTAGGCTGGGAGTTTTATAAAAGTTTCAGCTATATTTAATAGACTCATATAGATTTTCCTTAATATATGACAATTTTTTTAAGAGAAAAGCTGCATTTAATAGACTATCACGGAGATATTTTGTTAATGATATGATAATGTTTTAAAGATGAGAGAAGAGTGAGTTTGATATACGAAACTCTCTGATTACCCAACTCTATATAAGTAATGAAATTAAATGTTTATAAATTTATATAATGAAACCTTTTGAATAAATGTTTATAAATAGATTGAAACTTTCTATTGAAAGTAAGTCATGAAATTAAGTTTATAAATTTAGAAAATAAATCTTTCTAAATAAATATTTAGAAATCTATAGAGGAATGTTTCATTCATATTTCATTTCTATATGAAATAGCAGTCTTGAACTATAGCAAAAACTACTCACGCCTTATATACTAGAACTAATTACAAAATTAGTAAAAAGAAAAAAAAAGTGTGTTAAGAAGACCCCGAGAGTTTTAAAAGATGCAGAATACAGACCTCATGTGACAGTAATATAATATATAATAAAATAAAAATGGAGACCAAGTATGTTAAGATGAGCCGGAGGTTATTTTCAAAAAAAAAAATTAAAAAAGTAAAAAAGCAAAAATAATATGGCCCATGCAGGTCTCGAACCTGCGACCTTCGCGTTATTAGCACGACGCTCTAACCAACTGAGCTAATAGGCCAATTTGACGTGTCCACAAGTGTTTATTTGTAAAATATATAAGCCACCAGACAACCACCACAGCACACAGCCCTGCACAGTTCGCATTCCAAACGAGTCATGACAATTCCCATATGGAGAACCGGAAGATGAACATAAAGCGGGCACAAAGCAAGGTTGAGGCAGCGAAGAGAGCGATGACCATCGTCCGGCGACAAAAGGTCGAAGCAGCAAAGAGAGCGAGGTCCCGGTCCGGCGAACTCTGCATTATTGATGGGAGGCGTACACGGCTGCTTTGTTTTCTGACACCCCTCTCCTTATCTACATCCAGGGACGGCACACGTTCAGACCACGGACCCGAGACTTCAGCTACTAGACAGACAGGTTCACTCCGCTTCCATTTCATTCACGCGCCAGCCATCATCTTCGTCTAGGACATCTTGGCGTGCTGCGCGCGCTGCCTCTCCACGTACTCGAAGAGGCTGCCGTCGTACACGCGCCGCATGGCCTCCCGCGACAGGTACCCCTCGTCGTCCCGCGCCAGCACGTACAGGATCGTCCACTCCAGCTTCGCCGCAGCCCTGTGACAGAGAGAGAGAGAGAGGGGCTCAAGATCGCATAACCAGCCTGGAGGATCGGAGGAGATGGACGTTCGGTCGGTCAGTGCTCACCAGCCGAAGAGATCGAAGGCGTCGCGGAACCCCTCGGTCATGGACCACAGCTCCCTGTAGGTGAGCCTGTCCGGGGACGTGCGCGCGTACTTGCTGAACATGTTCTCGAAGTTCACCGGCATGAACCTGAACCAGAGGACGAATTTAGCATTTGGAACTCTAGATCGCGCTAGGACAGAGAGACATCATCAGCAGATCACTACCTGCCCTCGTTGTCGTAGGTCCCAGAGTCACTTCCATGCTTGCTCTTGTGGATGTTGTGGACGTAGATCGGGAACAGAGGGGACGGCAGCCACCCCTACAACCACAAATAGAGACACGGAAAAACGTGAAGTGTTCTTGTCCCCACCAGAACATGCATTTTCACGGCCCTAAAACCATTGACTGCATGCCTGAACCAAATTAAAGACGACGACATGGGTCTGAGTTGTACTCACAGGCAGTGTAGCATAGCTCATGGCCCCGTTCACGACAACAGCGATGAAGAACGACATGATAATGTTGAACCCAAGCGCACGGCATCCTGCATTGTTTGCAGTGTATCTCGTCTCAGCACAGGGATCACATATATGAAATTTGCACGAGCCCCAGCAGTACCTACTGCATGCTACTGGAACTAGAGCAGCCAGAGGAGGAGATTGATGCAACAATATATATAATTCGCATATGCATACCGGAGTAAGTCTCCCAAGGGTAGATGATGCCGTTGTCGTCGCGGTCGAAGAAGGCGACGTGCTGCTGCAACACGCTCATGTGGTGGTGCCTGTGCTCGTCGTCCGTGGTGCCGTCGGGGTGGTAGATGTCCGGCGCCGCCAGAGCTCGCGCCAGATCTGCTCATCTCATCAGCAACACGCGTCAGTGGCAAATCGTGCGTACTTTGATACTACTGTAAGCCTCAGCGACGAAGAAAAAGTGCGCGCGCGCGCTCACATGGCTTGGGGACGTGCTCCTCGAGGTCGCCGCGGACGGGGCGCATGACGGTCACCGGCGCCTGCAGCGCGACGATGGTCTGGGAGTCCTTCGCCTCCACGGCCGACATGCCGTGATGATGCATGGCCCCGCCGGCCTTGTTTCCCGCGTCGCCCTTCCCTACGTCCCCAGCCTTGGCGCCGGGGGCGTCGCCCTTCGCCACGTCGGCGCCGACCTTGGCGCCGGCAGCGTCTCCCTTCCCCTCCGTCGTCTTCGCCGCGCCGCGGTCACCGTTGCGCGCCTGCTGCTTGGCCGTCGTCGCTCCCTGCATCTCCGCTCCGCTACCGCGCGCCGTTCGATCGAGTTTGTTGCTGGCTAGCCTAACAGGACTGGAGTGGAGAGAGCTAAGAGATCTGCAGTAGTGCAGTTAGTCGAAGTGAGAAAAAAAATAATCAAAGTCTAGTGGTGTAGGCCGTGGCCGTGGCCCGCTGCGGTGGACGCATATATAAAGCGGCTCGGCGGTCGCGCGGGACGTGGCGCGGCAGCAGACGCGACGTGGGCG